GTTTCTATGATGTCTGTATTTCCATGAGTGTACCGTGACAGTGTGTTGATGTGATGTGCAATAAGCAATATAGTGGGTAGTGATTGGTTGTTTCTTTGATGTCTGTATTTTCATGAGTGTACCGTGACCGTGTGTTGATGTGATGTGGTAGTGATTGGTTGTTAATATGATGTCTTCATTTCCTTAAAGGTATTGTGTCGTGATGTGCAATAAGCAATATAGTGGGTAGTGATTGGTTGTTWATATGATGTCTTCATTTCCTTGAAGGTATCGTGAGAGTGTCGTGATGTGCCATAAACAATATAGTGGGTAGTGATTGGTTGTTTATATGATGTCTTCATTTCCTTGAAGGTATCGTGAGAGTGTCGTGATGTGCCATAAACAATATAATGGGTAGTGATTGGTTGTTTATATGATGTTTTCATTTCCTTGAAGGTATCGTGAGAGTGTCGTGATGTGCCATAAACAATATAATGGGTAGTGATTGGTTGTTTATATGATGACTTCATTTCCTTGAAGGTATCGTGAGAGTGTCGTGATGTGCCATAATCAATATAGTGGGTAGTGATTGGTTGTTTCATGGTGTCTTCGATTCCCTGATTAATATACCGAGAACGTGTGGTGATGTGCATGAATACAGTGAGTCAATAGACTCCACTTTTCATTGTTTCTTAACTACTTGATCATTTCTTACGTAGGCTGCAAAAAAGATAATAGTAAAAAAAAATGATCAACTTCTTTAAATACCTGCAGCGATTTTCAAGCAAACGTTAGCCAAATATCTAATATGAGTGCTCACACTTTACAATATGATTATGTTTTACCAAAATATTGTTTCAAACCTTTATTAAAACGATTTTTGATTTGAAAATTACCCATAATGCCCCCGATATATCGAAATATATAGACATTCTTTTCGTTTGCAGAAATTTTGCAAAGAGCTGTTTATAAATATAAAGTTGATTTTTGTGCTTACCATAAGAAAAAGAAAAATATGAAGATGATTATCAGAACAACCAAGGCCATAACTGCTAGGCCCACTCCAATAATTATTTCGAGATTGCGCTGTCTTACGAGGAGTGCTGAAAAAAACGAATTGAAGTAGCTTTCTTAAAAGGAGTACTGTCTCGAGACCACATCGTTCGTGATTTGACATCGTTCCCCTAAATGAATTATTGGTCAACTTTTTTCGTTAGCATTTTCTGAGCAGGAATGAGGATAATGTAGATTTCTTTGTCGATTGAAATGGAAATCCGCCATGAGTTCGACTTGCGTTTACGATAAATTCAAAGAGTGAAGAATTTGTATTTCATGGGTTCTCTTGGCAAAATCTAGGAAAATGTTAAATTCTCAGTTTTGATTGGTTGACCTCAAGTTCATTCTATAGACCAGGTCAGCTGGAAAGAATTGAGGCTATGTCATATTTGTCGTCTTTAATCTTTGACTTATTGAAATAAAATAATTCATTACCTTCTGCTTGTTGCTTTGTCATGCGCTCGGTAAGATCTAAAATATAGTTTAATAGTAATTAGTCAAGGAGAGATAAATGGAAGGATGAATCGCTGGGTGGGTTGGAAGGTGAATAAATGGAAGGATGAATAGAAGGATATATGTAGAGGTTTATACATGTGAGTGTGAGTGGGTGAACGGATGGTTCATTGATGAGTTTGATGGATTGGTGGGTAAAGTAATATTTCGAGAACGAGTGAGAGTGTTTCATTAGGGTTTCCAAACACGAGAAAACATTTGAAAGCACGAGGCCGTAGGAAGAAGTTTCATTGTTTTTATTTAATATGCGTAGAACAGTTGTATGGGAAAAAAATTTATAAAATATAAATCCAACCCAACTTTGTCAATAAATTCCTCGTTGGTATAGTTGGTGAAACACTAGACTATCACGCAAAGGGTACAAGGTTTGAGACATGGTAAGTCCAAGGTAAAAAGAAAAGAAAAAGGTAATTATGTAAGGAGATAGTAGATAGAAGTATAAAAAGTAAGTAACGGAGAGGAGAGAGGTAAAGAAATGAGTGCAAATGGGCGGAAAGTGGATGACAAAACTAGCTATTTTGAGACATCGACGACAAATATGTAGATTAAGACATATTTCAGCACTAGTGATGAAAATATTTCAAACACTAGTGATGAAAATGGTGTTTCATTAGGTTTCAAAACCCCTCCACGAGATCTGAAAAGTGTCCCTCAATTGGTTGCTGAGCTTATGAAGTATTAATGAGTTTGAGAATTAATAGACATAAATGCGTCGGTGGTTGACTGAGTGCATTGATTGCTGGATGTCTGGATAAATGGATGGATGAATGTATAAATGGGTGGAAAGGTAATGAATGGATGGCTGATTGGTAAATAGCTTAATAGGAGGATGGATGGGTGGATGGTCTAGATGAAAAAGGCCCCGTCCACACGTATCCGGAAATTTTTGTATCCGCAATTTTTTTTTTTTTTTTTTTTTTTTTTTTTTTACTGGTTACGTCCACACGTGTCCGCACATTTTT